ATTAATGTTTGTCAGTCATGTTGTAGGTGCACCACTTCACCCTTTGTGCCCACCCCCCACCCCACCTTTCCCCTGGTATCCACTAAACTGTTCTTAGTCCATAATTTTAAATTCCTCATATGAGTGGAGTCATACACAGATTATCCTTCTCTCGCTGGCTTATTTCACTTATAATTCTCTCAAGGTCCATCCATGTTATTGCAAATGGAATGATTTTGTTCTGTTTTGCAGCTGAGTAGTATTCCATTGTATATATGTACCACATCTTCTTTATCCATTCGTCTGTTGCTGGGCACTTAGGTTGCTTCCACGTCTTGGCTATTGTAAACAGTGCTGCAATAAACATTGGGGTGCATAGGACTTTTGGGATTGCTGACTTCAAGCTCTTTGGATAAATACCCAGTAGTGGGATGGCTGGATCGTATGGTAGTTCTATTTTTAATTTTTTGAGGAATCTCCATACTGTTTTCCATAGTGGCTGCACCAGTTTGCATTCCCACCAGCAGTGTATGAGGGTTCCTTTTTCTCTGCAACCTCTCCAACATTTGTTGCTATTAGTTTTAGATATTTTTGTCATTCTAACGGGTGTAAGGTGATATCTTAGTGTAGTTTTGATTTGCATTTCCCTGATGATCAGCGATGATGAGCATCTTTTCATGTGCCTATTGGCCATCAGTATATCTTCTTTGGAGAAATGTCTGTTCATGTCTCCAGCCCATTTTTTGATTGGGTTGTTTGATGTTTTGTGGTTGAGTTGCGAGAGTTCTTTATATATTATGGATATTAAGCCTTTGTCAGATATATGACTTGCAAATATTTTTTCCCAGTTAGTGGGTTGTTTTTTTGTTAGAAGGAAGCTCTCTTAATGTGGTAAAAAAGTGTATTCGTTATCTGTGGCTGAGAAAAAATTATTCCAAAATGTAGCAGCTTAAAACTACAAACATTTACCATTTCAAGTGGCTTCTGAGAGTGACAGCTGAGCATTCTACCTCAGGATCTCTCATGAGGTTTCAGTTAAGCTGTTGGCTGGGACCACAGTCTTTGAAGACTTGACTGGACTGGAGGAACTGCTTCTAAGCCCACCGACCTGGCTGTGGGCAGATGACTTCAGTTCCTTACCATGTAGCCCTCTCCATAGGCTTGCTCATGACATAGCTTCCCCCTTAGTGAGTGGTGATATAACACCCACCCCACCTCCCCACACACACAGATACACAGACACACAGAGACCAAGATAGGAGCTGCAATATTTTCTATAATCTACTGTACAAAGTCACATACCCTTACTTCTGCTGTATGCTATTGGTCATAGTAACCAGCTCTGGTACAGCGTGGGAGGGAACCCACACAAGGATGTGAATACCAGGAATTGGGGTTATTGGATACCATCTTGGATGTGGGATATCACAAAGATTATTTACCCAAAAATTTAAAGCAAGCATCACACTTAAAGGTAGAACATTAGAAGTAACTCCATACAAGTGAGAGACCAATGGCATAAGATGAGGATGCCCACTCTCACAGCCATTATCAACACTTGTTCAAGTGTGAAGGAAGGTTCTCCTTCTCTGTGAGGACTGTGTGTCTCCAGCATTGTTTGACCCTGACCTGCTCTTCAAGAGCAGTCCTGGCCAAAGAGGACAAATAATGTCCGGGTATGACTCAAGAAAGTGAGGCTCCTTTGACAAGAGGGTACCATGTAAAGAATATTTCTGAAGATCCATAAATTAGAAAGTTAATAACATACAACACCCTATAAGGAATAAAATCAACCAATGGTGTGGGCATCCAATCTCTTTATTTAACAAAAAACCTTCTTAATCTTTTTGTACATAGAAAGTCATAGAAGACGAATTAGTTTTCTAGGGCGGCTGTAACAAATTACCACAATCTTGGTGGCTTAAAACAGTACACATTTATTCTCTTATAGTTCTAGATGTCAGAAATCCAAAATCAGTTTCATTGGGCCAAGGTCAAGGTGTTCACAGGGATGCGCTCTCTCTGGAGGTTCTAGGAGGGGGTCTGTTTTCTTTTCTTTCTTTTTTTATTATGGTAAAATATTCATAAAAGTTATCATTTTAACCATTTTTAAGTGTACATTGCAGTGGCTTTAAGTACATTCATGTTGTTGTGCAACCATCACCACCATCCATCTCCAGGATTTTTGCATCTTCCCAGACTGAAATTTTGTACCCATAAACAATGTCTCCATTTCCCTACATCCAGCAGCTGGCAAACACCATTCTATTTTCTGTTTCTAGGAATCTGGCTACTCTAGGTGCCTCATACGAAAGGACTGATATAATACTTGTCCCTTTGTAACTGGCTTATTTCACTGAGCATAAAGTCTTCAAGGTTCATCTATGTTGGAGAATGTGTCAAAATTTCCTTCCCTTTTAAGGCTGAATAATATTCCATTGTATGTATATTCCACATTTTGTTTATCCATTCATCCCTTGATGGACACTTGGGTTACTTCCACCTTTTGGCTACTGTGAATAAGGCCTGTCTGAACACAGGTATACAGGTGTCTCTTTAAGACCTTGCTTTCAGTTCTTTTGGGGTATATACCCAGAAGTAGAATTGCTGGATCATATGGGAGAATCTATATTCTAGTCTTTTTCATCTTCTAGAGTTGCACTCCTTGCCTTCCATCTTCTAAACAAGCAGGGTAGCATCTTGTTTCAGTGGTCACATTGCCTCTCTGTCTCCAATTTCCCTCTGCCTCTCTCTTTGAGGACACTTGTGATTGCATTTAGGACCCACAAGGATAATCCAGGATAATCTTTTCATCTCAAGATTCTTAATTTAATCACAACTGCAAAGTCTCTTTTGCCATATAAGGTGGCATTCACAGGTCCCAGGGATGAGGACCTGGATATCTTTCGCAGCCATTATTCAGCCTAACACACAAGCTAATAGAAGAGGAACACAGAAACCTATCAGGAGGAGAAAGGCCCAAAGAACCCCACTATGCTGAGATCATTGCAGGAAATAGTTTGGGACATATTTTTCTACATTTCTTTGCATGCATAGATGAACAAATGTATTTCTTTTATTTCCCTTCCTTTCTAAAAAAATAAAAGGGATAACTTTCTACACAGCCCAGCAACTTGTCTCTTTTAATAATGTATCTTTGCAGCAAGCTCTTTAAGAGTGAAACGGATTTACTTTCATGCTACTGTCTTCTTTGATGTAAAAATAGCAACTTTCCAGTAAAGCAAACGACTTTTAGAAAAATTCCATTTGAAATAATCTCCTAGAAATGTCACTGTTAGCTTTAATTCATAAGAGGAAAGAGAGAGTTTGAACCAAAATAAGGGTAGAGTCTACTTAGAATTTAGTATTTTGGGTAAGTTAGAGAAAGAGCACTCAAGTTATACATGAATACAGCATGATGGACCTAAAGGTTAAATTACTTTGTGTGGCATGTTAACAGGAGAGTCAATGCTTCCACAGTCTCACTTTAAACCAAGCATCCGGTTTTGAGGTAGAGACATCAGGAGACCTGGACTGAAATCCTGGCTTTGCCATCAACTAGCTGTGTGACCTTAGGCGAGCTGTATCCAGTCTCTGGGCCTCAGCATCCTCATCTTTGAAGTGAGAGGACTGGACTGGAAGTTGTCTAAGCTCCTACTGGTCTTCCATCCTGCAATCTGGGAAGGGTATTATTCTAGCAGGCTAGAGACCCAGTTTTGTATACCAAACCTTCTACTAACTTGCTATGACCTTGAGCTAGACAGTCAGCTCCACTGGGCCTCGGTTTATTCATCTGTAAAATGAGCAGGCTGGACTCAGTGTTCTCAAGATCCTTTCCAATTCTCACATTCTAAGATATGAGCCTCAAACTTCAGTGTGCCTAAGAATTCCCTGGGGATCTTGTTAAAACGCAGAGTCTGATTCAGCAGGTCTGGGTGGGGCCTGAGAGTTCCCAGGTGAGGCTGATGGCTGCTCTGGAGACTACACTTTGAGTAACAAAGCATTTGGATCTTGAACTGTCACGAAACTTTGTTAAAAACTTAGAAAGTGGCAAAAGATATGACTGTGTGTCCCTTGGGTGGAGCGCTGGTCTGGGGATTATCTCGTGCACTAGGGGTGCGCACCTTTGCTTGTCTTCTGTTCAGCTCTGTAAAGTAGAAATTAAGGTGCAGATTATGGATAGTAATGGGATGAATTTTGTTTGATAAAAGTACAGTTGATTTCAGCTCCGTAGAAAAAGATGGCTCCCAAATATTATTTTTTCTTGTCCTATACGATATCAACCAGTTCTGCACAATTAGCAATGTCGCTTCAGCCTTCCTGATTGCCCACATATATGTGTTCTTCAAAATCTCCTTTAAACAGGTTTTACCTTTTTAAAAATGATACGTTAACACCACTGGTCCTTCGCAATTCATTCATTGATTCATTTATTTATTTATAGCAAGAAACACGTGCCAGGATGCGTAAGGTTACAGGGTGGGAAATGTAAACTCTCTAGGATAGTGGGCGGTCAGGCATCGTGATTTCCTGACTCCCAGCCCACGTATCAGGTGAGAAGAGGACACTTTACCTCCAGTCTTGGAGAGGTGATTCCCCTCCAAGGTTAGAAGATGACGGAATATGGTGGAAGAAGATGCTTTAACCATCACGCGGTCCAATAAGGATCAAGAGGTTGGGAGACCTGCCCAAGCCCAGGAGGGGACTGTAGCTACGCTGGGATCCAAAGCCTGACCTCAGGCCTCCTTCAGCGCTCTTTACACCATTTGCCGTCCAGTTTATTCTGGGGCCATTCAACTGAGGGCTCGCTCACATCAACTGCAACTGTAAGCATCTGACCCCCAAAGTGTCTAGGGTTTTCGTGACGCCAAACACGAGCAAGAGGACGGATCCGAGGGGCGGAGCTTGGGGCGGAACCCGGGCCCGCGGCGCCGACGCCCTCGCCCCACGGGCTGCCGGGAGTCCGCGCGACCTGCCCCGGCTCCGCCTGCCCCGGCTCCGCCTGCCCCGGCTTGTCTGTGTCCGCGGCGGCCGCTACCAATAAAGTTGTTGTTCTGCCAACATGGCGGCGCCCATGGTGACTGGCGGGGCCGTGTTCGCCTAAAGTGGGAACTAACGCGTAAGGCGCCTTAGGCCAGAGCCTGTGAGCAGGTAAACTCCCGAGCCGGGCTCATCGGGACGAGAGACGAGGCCCGACCTCCTCTCTCCCTGGATTGGGAGGTTCCCACTTGCTGGGGGCAGGAAGGGAAGGTGCGGGCTGGGTTAGGTGGTCCCGGAGCCGTGCAATTTCTGAACTGGAAAAGTCTCTGAGATCTGGGTTCTGACTCTTTGAGCCACCGGGTACTTTCCTGGAAAAATGCACATGTACATATAGTTTTGTACTCAAGTTCCCGTCCCCTCTGCTTCCCCTACCCCAATTTGTCCCTGGATCTTTGCTCCCTGGGCTGGGGGTTTGGACCCAGTTAAAGGCCATCAGTGCACCTCAGTGGCCCACAGGTCATTACCACAGCATGTTAGGGCTCGAAGCTCCTCAGAGATCATCTGGGTTTACCCCTTCATCTTAAGGAGAAACGGAGGCTCCAGATAGGAAATAATTTGCCTGAGGTCACACAGGAAATTAGTAGTTGCAAAAGTCAAGATCTGTATATTTTTGTCACAAAGCTTTATTTCTTTAATTGCTTTTCCCGGGTACGTTCTCGAACACTTTCTTTTGGGTGCACACAAATGCCCTCATTTGCTTCTCCCATATGTTCTGTTTCTTCCCCCGTCTTCGATTCTTTTCCTAGGTTTCCCTGTCTGTATATGATTGTCATTTTGGGTCCTGTTCTCAGGCCCCTCCCTCTGTGGTCACACATCACTACCCCCACTGTTCTCAAAAAACTTAACCTTAAGCTCTAAGTGAGGTTGAGGTCCGGGCTGACTCTAAAGAGGAGTGGAGTAGTGGGGATTGATCATTTGGAAGGATGTGGAAGAAGAAACAAGATTCCAAACATTTAGGCAAGGAACTAGATGAGACAGAGCTAAGGAGAAAAGGGCCAAGTAGATCATAAATAGAAGACATGAGCGAAACCTTTCCCATTCCTCGTATGGGCATAGTCTTCTAATAGAATGGTTGCTTCTTATTGTCAGGAAGAGGCAGCGCCCTTCAGGGCTTTTTGATGGTGAAGTGGTCCAAAGCAGGGCCTGGGAAGTAAAGGAAGGGAACAGGGCTGAGCTCCAGGAAGTACTGTAATAAATCATAGCCCTGAGTACACTGTATGCTGAGTCTTGGGGACCCCCTAACACAAAGGGTATGAACTTTTCTTAAAGTCTTGACACGTATTATCAGATTACTCTCCAGAGAGGTGGAGTCAATTTACATTCCCACCAGCAGTATACAAAATGCACATTCCTTTTCATTGCATGTTTTTTTGCCAATCTGGTAAGCAAAATATTTTATTGTTGTTTTAATCTGCATGTCTTTGATTAGTTGTAAAATTGATCTTTTTCATGTATTTATTAGCCATTTGTATTTCCTCTTCCCCTTTGCCCGTTTTTAAAATTAGGTTTTTGTGTGTGTGTGAGGAAGATTGTCCCTGAGCTAACATCTATGGCAATCTTCCTCTACTTTGTATGTGGGATGCCGCCACAGCATGGCTGATGAATGGAGTAGGTCTGCACCTGGGATCCACACCTGCAAACCCTGGGCCACTGAAGTGGTACATGTGGAACTTCAACCACTTGGCCAGGGGGCCCGCGCCCAAATTAGGTTTTTAATGTTTCTCTTCTCATGTGAACTATTTATATAGTAGGATAACCTTTTGTTGTTGCAGTAATTTCCTCTCAGCTTATGGTTTGCTTTCTAATTTTGTTCACGGTGTTTCTGATATACAGATATTTTATATTTTAGAGAGATTTATTAATATTTTCCTTTATGAATTCTTCCATTGCTTTTGTGCTCAGGACAGAACATCCTACGCCTTGGAAAGAATTATTAAATACTCATGTATAATTTTGTCTTGTTTTAAGGTATTTTTCAAAAATTCTGTAATCTATATGGGATTTACTCTGGTTTATGGTTTGAAGTAGGGCTCTAATTTGAATTTTTTCCTCATTCATTGACTAATCTATCACTTTCTAATCTACTTGTGCTTTTTACTTTTTGAACTTTAAGTTCTTTTAGATACTCTGATCTGTTTCAGGATTCTGTAGTCTATATCATTGGTTTATGTAACGAGAAGGTTATTAGTGAGCCAGGTATTATGTAAACATTTTTACAGGGCTTATTCTTGTTGTGTAGACAGGGGTTGTTATGTGTTGTTTATGATTCGGTATATAGTATAAGTAAGTTATAGAAACAAGGTTAGAGTTTTAAGTGAAAGAATGACCTGGTTTCATATTACTCATATTGGTGATCTGCCTGCATTCTGATATTTCATTTCTCACAACGGCTAACCAGCATTGAAACCAAAAACTTGTGAGAGTACAGTTCAGGTCAGTTTGTAATTTTACAATTTTGTTGTTTTCCATTGTTTCTATTCGAGAGGATAGTCCAAAACACTCTCCTATGGGTTCTTAGGGAATGCAGTCTAGGAGGGAAATGGCGGGCATCTGTCTGTGTGCCCTCTGCTAAACTGGCATTCTTTGGCTTGCAAAGATGTAGAAATGCTGACTTAGCAAGAGAACCATAAAATCCAGGACTCCCGTGAATAGTACTAATTATGTAGAAACTCAACACCTAAAAATAAGTGCGATTGCTTTAATTATACCAAGTGTCTGTATATTAGGTTGGTCATGGGAAACTGTTGATATTCAACCAACTTCATACAGTTCAATCTAATATCTGTAGTCACATGTACACGCTTTAAAATAGCCAAGCCCAACGTATAGGGAGGGTTTTTTTAAGAAGCAAGAGGTGTTAAATCAGTGAGAATTGGTGTGTCAAGAACTTTAGCAGACCAACTTATAAAATGCCAGCACTGTGATGCCATTTTGTGTGAGTGTCAAACTCACTTGTATAAGCCTAGAATGAACCTTCTTGGCAACATTTGTGACCCAGGCCAAACCCTTGTAGATATGGAAAAAATTTTGAGAGAATCAAAGAATTAACATCAGCTTTGAGTGCCAGGTTCTTCCTTTATTTCTCTCTTAGTTTTGAAAGATCTATTTTCATCTGTGTTTTCACCATAGCACTTCTCGAAAGCTTTTTGCAAGAAGGCAGAAAATTTAGGCTATTTAGTTATAAATCCTAAATATTTGATGAACTATCCTCTTATTCCCCCCCCCTTTTTTTTTTTTGAGGAAGATTAGCCCTGAGCTAATATCTGCCACCAATCCTCCTCTTTTTTGCTGAGGAGGACTAGCCCTGAGCTAACATCCTTGGCTATCTTCCTCTACTTTATATGTAGGACACCTGCCACAGCATGGCTTGACAAGTGGTGTGTAGGTCTGCAGTGGGGCTCCAAACCGGCAAACCCTGGGCCGCAGAAGCAGAACGTGTGAACTTAATCACTGTGCCACTGGGCTGGCCCCTCACCTCAACCTTTTAAACAGTGATAAAACATGAAACTTATTCCATGAGATCATTTCTGGAGTTCATTTTTGGAGGACACCAATGAAACATTCTAGTTGAATTTTAAATTGCAGCTGGGTATCCTGATGGGCCCCATCCTATGGGTTGTATTCCAAAAAACCATAGCACTCACCGCTATGACACATATTATATGTTTGTTTGTTTGTTTCTTATCTGCTTTTCCCTCCTAGTATGTAAGTGCCATGGAAGAAGGGACTTTGTTTGTGTTCACGGCTGTATCCCCAGTGCCTAGAACAGTGTTGGACCTAGTGGCACTCAATAAATATTTGGTAAATGAATGAAGAACAAAATGAATAAACAGTTTCTAAATAATAGTTATTACCTGGCTCAGCCTACTGAGTATATTTAACTCATAATATGTATGAAAAATACTAATAATAGCTCAGAGGCTCTGGTTCTCCTGGGAGGCCCGTGTTCGGATCCCTTCTGATATTTGAGCCTAAGGCCAAGCCAAGATGTGCTGGAGCTCTTCTGGAGCCTGGTCGATGGGAAGTGAAGCCTGCTGACACACCCTGGGCTGTCCTAAAGGGGCGGGGCGGGGGGGGCACTCCACTGCCTCCCTTGCAGCCTGTGAGGTTGTGGCAGGAGCTGGCGCAGGTAGTGGTCTCCGTCTGTTCTTTTTTTTTTTCCCTAAAGATTGGCACATGCCCTAACATCTGTTGCCAATCTTCATTTTTCTTTTTTTTCTTCTCCCCAAAGCCCCCTGGTACGTGGTTGTATATTCTAGTTGCGAGTGCCTCTGGTTATGCTATGTGGGATGCTGCCTCAACATGACATGATGAGTGGTGCCATGTCCGCACCCAGGATCCAAACCAACAAAACCCTGGGCCGCGGAAGCGGAGCCTGCAAACAACCATTCAGCCACTGGCCACCCCAGTCTCTGTCTGTTCTTAGAGGGTTTTTGTATCTTTGGTGTTTGAGGGCACTGACCACCTTTATATTTCCATTAGAAAGTTGTGTTTAGCTCAATTGAAATTCTAAAGAATTCTCCTCAGGGAAAGAAATCATGAAAAGAGTAAGAGGAAAGCAAGTAAGGGCAGGGAACACTGGGCTGTGCTGAATGGAAGAATGAGCTCAGGAGAGGGTTCTGGGCAACTCACGAGTGTGCTCTCTGCTCTCCTTTTCAGGGCCTTCCCACCTTCTGAAGAATGGCTTCTCCTTGGCAGAGACTGGGTTTTTATGCCTCTCTTCTGAAAAGGCAGCTAAATGGTGGGCCAGATGTCATCAACTGGGGAAAGAGAGTGATTCCAAGGCGTACCAGAGGTATTTACAGTGCCACGGGAAAGTGGACGAAAGAGTATACATTGCAGACAAGAAAGGATGTCGAGAAATGGTGGCATCAACGAATAAAAGAACAGGCCTCCAAAATTTCAGAAACCGATGTGAGTATTTTGGGAGATTCTGAGAGGGTACAGAAGAGGGGCCACGGACTAGGACTTTGGGGTCGGACTGCCTGAGTTCAAATAAATTATTAAGTATGTGACCTTGATCCAGATGACTGAATCTCTTTGTGCTTCAGTTTTCTGATCTGTAATGGGCAGTGATAATAATAGTGCGTGCCTGCTTCCTAGGATGCTCATGAGGGGTAAGTGAGATGAGACAAGGTTAGTGCTTCGAAGAGTTTCAGTACGGTGCATGTACACACAAGGTGCATGCAGACAGCACCACACTGGGCATTCTGGAGCAGCGCTTCCTGGGGAAGCTCATTAGGGTAGGAGCCATAGCAGGTGTTGGGTCCTTCGTGGTCCATTACATGGTGGGGTAGCACACAGGGATCTGGCAGGGTCAGATGCGAGACTCCTGAGAGGCACCTGGGCCACTCAGCTATGGAACTTTTAAGCTCCCTATTTTGAGTAGCACCTGCCCCTCCCCTGGCATGACCTTGTCCTCTAGCCCTGTTCTGCTACCTTAGCATCATGGTTAGGGAGGTCCCAGCCCTTCCCTGATATGATCTGGGGCTGGGATCCAACCTTGCAGTAGCAGCTATGTGAGTTAATGGACTGTTGGCTTCTGGTCCGTGTGCACCAGCTCAGTACTGTCCCTGCATTGGATTAGGTACTTGGCTGTCGCTGGTTTCCATGGCATGCTCTGCTGGAGACTGGCTCCTTCTCTGGGAGGCCAGCCTGCTGAGCATCAGTCCTGGGTGCATTAAGCCTCACCTCTCAATATTGGTCAAAATGACAAATGGAATATGTGATTTGTTTACATGAAATGTTGAATCTGATCAGAGCAAAGCACTATGAGACAGAGTTTTACTGTTAAATTCTGACCATCCCTTTGTAATAGTTACCAGTCGCATAATACAGCCCCTCTATATTTAATAGAAGAAATTAGGCCAGAGGCAAGCACTTGAGTAAATGTATCTGTGCAAGACTGCACTCACTGGAATTGCCTTTCCCCCATCTCCTGATTCTCATCTCATCAGACTCGTTCTTTCTATGAGATTGGTCCTTATGAAGAGTGGGGGAGCGGAGGAGCTATTTGTGTTAAACTGGAGATGGTTTTGCCATTGGTTAGAAGCGAAATCTGGTATTGAGAGAGAGGTAGTGTATAACAAGTGAAATGACAAAAAGGAGGGTTTGAATGTACTGCAGTGCAATGAAAGCTTGGCTCTTACCTCATCAGGAAATGAAAGGCCCGTGTGTCAACCTGACCGAACTAATGTAACTAAATGTATTTTGGAAACAAACTCTCGGGAGCTGTTTAATTCTAAATGAGGAGCATAAAATTAGCTTTTTATTCTTTGGGTTTAGATTATAATTTAGTGACTTATAAACATTTTGAAGTTGTGGCTTCTTGATTTTGTGACATCTCATTCTTAAGCATATGATTTTTTAAAAAAATTAAATGGATCAAAATAAACCAAATTTCAATAATTGGGGAAACAGAGTCAAGGATATACTGGGTGAGCCCCTCGTGGCGCTCTGTCAGGGTTTGAATCAGGTGATGGTAAAGTGGAGGGAGCCGCTGACGAGGAGTCTGGAGCCTTGGCAGTAATACTGGCTCTGCCCCCAAAGTCAATGTGATCTTGGCCACATCATTTAGCCCCTTTGATCCTCAGATTCCTTGCATTGTTTATCTCACAGAATGGTTTTAAAAACCAAATGAGAAAATGTGGCTGAACTCATTTTACAAATTGAAGTGTTATATAAATAAAAGATACAAGAGGATAAAAATATGTGGTATGTCTTTGTCAAGAACTGAGAGTGTGACTGGATGCTGATTGATTTTGAAGCATTTATAATTGACCTCACTCTGGTGAGGTGAAATCCACACTGATAAGATGCTAGAAGTTGAATATCTTGCCATCTTCATCATAATCATCATTATAAAAAGAACTTCCATTTAATGAGCATTTTACGATATGTCAGGCACCATCTTTCCATTTATTGTCTCACTTAATCCTGAAACAACCCTGAGGGTAGCTATTATTATCCTCATTTTTGGAGTAAGAAAACTGAGGCTCAGAAAGGGGTTTGGGAATTTGTTGAGATGCACAACTAACCTGTGACAGAGCCAGGATTCAAACTCAGACACACTTGCTTCCTGAGCTCCTGCTTTCACCTTCTTTTGGCTCAAATCAATGTATAGATTGTAAACTAGCCCAGAAAAGCAGAGGAATTCGCCGAAGGTCTCAAAACTAGTGGCAAGGCTGGGACCAGAGTTAAGGTCTGAGCTTGTCCTGTCTGCCATCCTCTGGACTCAGCGGCAGCTTTGGAGCATCATCTATAAAGAGGCAGAAGTTAGCTTTCTCCTGACACCAGAAGCTGACAAAAATAATAGGACTCACTTATAAAAACCATCCTTTTCCCATTGCTTATGATCTTAATTTCTTTTAAAGGCTTAAATCCTTGCACTTTTATATAATTATGAAAATTTCCCTTTCAATCAGATTCCTGCTCAATTATAAGAAACACCCATAATTCCTTCTCTCCTTCCCCCTGCAAGAGGATAGAACTTATTTCATTGTGACAGAGGAAGATAGCTTAATTCACACAGAAAAGCAAAAGGCAGGGGCAGGCAGTCAGCTGAATACTTTTCTGCAATAAACAAAAATATTCATGAATATTTATGACTTTTGCTAGCAATACATTTTTATACATCTATAAAACTCACTTTTGGAGTTTGGCTTAGCTGGTATATAATGAATCACTTGATTTTGCTATAAATTTAATCTTTGTTGGACAGACATACAAAAAGGAGAGCTAATGAAGTAGCTATATGTGGAAAATGTTTGGGGCAAGAAGGATTGTTAAAAATAATATTAAAAAATATATCACTGTAATAAAAACAAGGTGATTATAATAAAATAAAAATAGGTTTAATGTAAAAAGTTTAAAATGAAAAACTAGAAATAGTTTATATCAGGGATTTCATTGTTTTTTTCAGATGCCAAAGAACTCTGTAACAGCTGTTTTCGCAGGTCCCTAAAATCCTCAAAGAAAAGGCAGTCGGCTTGATCCGCTGCTGGAAGGAGTAGGGCTGAGCGCAGTGGACAGTTTGCTTGCCTCTGATTCTTTACTAAGTAACAGAATGAGATCTCACCCCTCCTCTGAGGGACTTGTGTACAAGCTGAGAGGATTATCTGTCACTTTCCTTCTTAAAGACAGTAAGTGCTGAGTCTCCACCCACTCCTGGCTCTCAGGTCTTCTCTCATGCTCCCAAGGTTTTCCTTAAGCGTTCTGGATCCTTTGTTTCCAATTGAAGTGCACGACCAGTGTGCTGCTCTCCATCCGTTTATGTAAATCCACAGCAGTTGTCCCTTCAGCATTTCAAGGTGATTTTTGAGTTGATGTGTTATCCAGACTCCTTATTTGTCCTCTTTTCCCTTTTCTTCCTTCAGGCAATGTTACTTCTCACTCATTGGTAATTTCTAGAGGATGAGCAGGACAGAGAAATGTTCCCCTCTAGTCTAGCTGGATGGTAGTGGCTCTGTTCAAGGTTTAACTTCTTTGCTGAAGAAAGTTTAAAGCAAGGGGTCAAATGAGATTTGGAAAGAATCTGATTTCTGGTTTCCTTCACAGTTGGCTGTATCCATTCTCAGTCTTGGAAATACTTAGCAAAAAATATACCCCGACACACAAATACACAGAAGAACGGTTTTGAATATTCTGCTTTACATTTGTTTTATTTACTTTTGGGGAAGCAAAGCCTTCAAGAACTCTGGTAGAGCTCTAGGAAGGGAGTAAGCACAGGAAGAGAAAAACAGAAGGCAGAAATAAAGGAAATAATGGTAATATCAGATGGTCCCAACCCTCAGTGACCAAACGGAAGCAGTTCCCTGTTGCTCCTCCTTTCTCAGAGGACCCCCCCTTGGGGGGATTTAAGGCGGGCCAGGGGGAACACTCCCATCACCAGGACAGGATTTGTGAAGTTTGCTGGGAAAAATGCCCTTGAGTAATAAGTGCTCTGCAGAGGCCAGTTGTCAGGCTTTCAGAGCACAGAGGCCAGCAAACGTTTATGCGATGGTTAATAAACTCCTGCTGGGGGTGGCCGGGGTCAGGGGGCTGGGCAGAAAGATGATTAAAACATAGTCCTTACCCTTGAACAACAGGTCTCCAGTAAGGAATCAATTAAATGGCTACCACCTTTGCTTTGGACCCTTATCCCCTCGTGTGCCCAAACTCATGGCAGCATTCATGGTTGTTGTTTTTTTAAAATTTTTTTGAGGTTATAATAGTTTATAACATTGTGAAATTTCAGTTGTACATTGTTATTTGTCAGTCACCATATGTATGTGCCCCCTTACCCCTTTTGCCCACCCCCAACCCCCTTCCCCCCTGGTAACCACTAATCTGTTCTCTTTGTCCATGTGTTTGTTTATCTTCCATGTTTGAGTGAAATCATATGGTGTTTGTCTTTCTCTGTCTGGCTTATTTCACTTAACATAATACCCTCAAGTTTCTTCCATGTTGTTGCAAATGGGATGATTTTTGTCTTTTTTATGGCTGAGTAGTATTCCACTGCGTATATATATCAAATTTTCTTTATCCAGTCATCGGTTGATGGGCACTTGCGTTACTTCCACGTCTTGGCTGTTGTGAATAATGCTGCAATGAACATAGGGGTGTATAAGTCTCTTTGAATTGTTGATTTCAAGTTCTTTGGATAAATACCCAGTAATGGGATGGCTGGATTGTGTGGTATTATTTTTAATGTTTTGAGAAATCTCCATACTGTTTTCCATAGTGGCTGCACCAGTTCATCATTCACCATCTCACTGGTGGGAGAACGAAGGTGCCCAAAGTCAGTGTTCCAATAAGGACTGCCTGCCCTGTGTTCATTCTGTTCGGATGCATGTACTGTTTTCCTGTGTTTTTCATGATGAAACCGCGTCTTTGGAAGCTGGAGAGTTATGTAATCCTGGCCCGTGGCTGGCTATAGATCACTCCTGGGAAACAACAGCCTTCTCCCTTCATTGGCTAAGATTTTCTCATTACCTTCCCATTTCAACTTTTTCTATTGAAAGATAAGCTCACAATGAAACGGAGAAACCCAGGACCCAAACCGATGCCTTAGAATCCTGCTCTTCCTGCTAAATCCAAGTCTGAATGCAGCCTCAGGGAGTTTAGGCAGGGGCTCCATTTTTAGAGATGTCACATCTCTCTGATTCGCTATTGTTTCCTGGAATTATATGGATATGTGTTAGAGCTACATTTAGAAAAGCATACAGTTCTTGAAGACCTAGATAGCAGCTGTCTTAAAAGAGCAGCTTTTAAAAAAGAAAAAAGAAGATTAAAAATATATATGGGTAATTAGCACTTAGAGGTTGTTCGGCATTATTTTGGACATTCTTTACCTTAAACGAGGGCTTTGCATTTTGGTTTTTGACACTTTTGTCAATTTACATTATGGGAACAGTTTTTTTAAAAGGAAACTTTTGAAAAGGTTAAATTATTACCTTAAGTAAAGTGCCAAAATATTATGTGCATGCAGGGTTCCCAGTAAATGCTTAATAAATACTTATTGTCATTCTTTCCTAGAAATCAAAGCCCAAGTTTTACGTGCTTTCCATGTTCCCATATCCTTCTGGCAAGCTGCACATGGGCCATGTGCGTGTGTACACCATCAGCGACACCATTGCACGGTTCCAGAAAATGAGAGGGATGCAGGTAAGGAAAGAAGCCTGCCCGAACCGCCCTCTTCTGCCCAACTCAGGACAACAAGAATGTGGTAATATGTGTTCAAGATGAATGAAGAAAACCAATTTTAGTTAAGATTAGGATAGCTTTGAAGATAAACATGGAAAGCTCAGTGTTTCCTTTAATGAACTGGAAGACATAACAATGCATCTCGATTACCTGGGGGCAGCCATGTGCTGGGTGTTGTGCTACGGATGGATATGGGGTGGGAGTGGGGTGAAAGGTAGCTACAATTGTGGGTAACACGTGCTATCTCCCCAAGAGGGGCTCACAGTCTGGGGGTGGGGGTGAAACCTAAATAGATAATCATTGTATAGGGGGATGAATCAAATAGTGTGAATAGGGATCAAAGCCTAGGAGTAAGAGGTGGTGCCACAAGAGATTTTTCTCTTTGTATTTATAATATTTTCTATATTCTCTAATGAGTATGTATTTATTTCATAACAGAAAAAGTAAAATTTTTTCAAGAAAAAATATTTGGGGAGTAACAACCCTCAGGGAGTTGAGAAAGGCGCCAGTGAAGGGGGAATATCTGACATGGGTCGTGAAGGACAAAGTGAGTTTTCCTGGGATAGGAGGAGAAAGACCCTTCCGTGGCTGATGCGAGTCACTCCCCTTACCCCACTGCCAATTACACCAGAGCCTGCTCTTCACACGTCATCTGTGAGGTGAGGTGGAAATAATCATGGTACCTTCTTTAATCACTTACCGAGAGAGGCAGGGTCGAAGAGGGGCTGAGTGCATGGGCCATTGAACCAGATAGCCAGGATTCAAATGCCAGCTCTTAACGCTTAATAGCTGTGTGGCCTTTGACTAGTTACTTAATTAACCTCTCTAAGACCTAGTATTCTGTCATCTGTAAGATGGGGATAAAATAGTACCTGCCGTTTGGCCTGTTACAAGGATTCAAAGAGAATGACTATGAAACACTTAGCATATACCTGGCACATGGTGCAGAACCAGTAAATATTAGCACTGCTAACGGAAGCTGGACCCTGCTCGCACAAGCCCCGGAAAGCCCACTGTACAGATGTCTGCCCAAGTTTGTGTTTATTAGTCACCTTAGTAGCTTGAAATCTGCCATAGTAGGAGTATTTACACTATGGAAATCAGCAAACCCTACAAATCAGGGCTTTTTCTTCTAGAGAGCCAATTGTTAAACATACACTGGCGCTCCTACTGGCTATTGCTATTGTTAACCTGTCAGAGCCTGAACAAATGATAGGAGCTACTTCCAAGTTCTTTATAAAGGTTTTCTTTTAGAAAGGTAAGTGCATTTGTTGTCACAATTGGCTTGAAAATTTACGCTGAACTGACATTGGCAGCAAGAAGTACTCCTAAGGAAGTCAAGTTATAACGTCTCTTTGTCACTTGAAGAGTTAATAACTTTATACTATCAAGTTCAGAGATTTGTGCTCTACTTGAAGATGGCCAGAGGTGTTTGTCTCCTTGGTTTATGCCAGATGTTATTTTTCCCAGACACTGCTTTCCATCATTTCTGCTATGTTTATTAGAAAGAGGCGGTGCAGAATAAATTGGCTCTTTGCCTGAAGTATAATTCTTCATCTAACTTTGGTTCTTCAACTAGATTTATCTTATTTTTTTACTAGTGCTAACTTATTTTGGACAATTAGTGAGTGTTGGCAAATCACCGAAGACTAAGCTTTTACAGCAAAACTGTACATTTATAATAATGTGCAGGGAAGCCTTGTAGCAGCTGGTTGGTTGAGGGGGTGTAGGTGGGGTTCTAATTCCCTTGGATGGATGAGATGTTACACCGAAAGCTCAAGGCAGAACCCCAGGCCCAGAGGTACTGGGACCCTTGTAGGCAGCTCAGACCCAAAAGACAAGATGGAGTCCCCTAGTGTAACTGCAGTCCAAGGGCAGGCTGGATCCGGGAATGGGACAGCCTAGGTTTGAACTCCATTCTACCACTTTCTCACTGAGTGATCATGCACGCGTCATTTAATGTCTCTGAATCCCACTTTCCTCATCTTTAAAACAGAGATAAGATAACAATAATTCTTCCCTCATAAGGTTCTTGTGTGGGTTAAATGAGATAGGACATGTGTCTGGCACATAATAATCCCTTAATAAGCGGTAGCCACGATTCTTATTTGATCTGATCTGATTTACTCTGGGAAGTCGTTCACCACAATTCAATAAATGAAATGAGTCCCTGTGCTCTTCTTCCTGGGGCACGCTGCATAGAGTTGCCTTCTGAGAAGCAACTTGACTGCAAAACATTGCCTGTGGTTTGTATTATCTAGCCTATGACTTGAGTGGTGTCTGAAACACTGTTATTTGGCTTGTGGTATCTGAGTCTGTGTGATCACCCAGTGCCTAGGATTCTCTTAGTTCCTCAGTTTCAGTTGCTCTGTTTAAGATGATAAGCTACCTTTTCGGGGTATCCTCCAGGTTCTCCTCAAATTAATTTCTTGTTAATTTTCATAGCCCATCTTTAACTCACATCATCCCACATACAACTACCAAATTTGGTGAAAACTTATTCTGCCGTTTTTAAGTGATATGGCAAAGGAGAAACAGAAATCTCGGAGTAATTGTCAGCGGTGTGAAAGCCTGTTGAGCTTCCTGTTGTTTTAAAATCCTTCCTTCCTTCCCAATGTCAGGACTAGTCCCAGAGGTAGAGCAGCACTGAATTCAGGTCAAGTTCAGTGATGCTCACTCTCAGCAGGGAAGGAATATCTAATCTGGAATAACAGGGTCTGATGTATGTGTTGATTAATTCATTCAATACGTAGTCAATGAGCACCGGCTTTATTCTAAACCCTGGGCTTTCTACTGTATTAAATAGAAATATTGGAGTCTTAGGTTCAAAATCAGTCCGTGGCCTAAGAAAAATTCAGCAAGGTTGGCCTTTTTCTATAACTTGGTTTTTTTTTTTTTTTTTTTTTTGAGGAATATTAGCCCTGAGCTAGCATCTGCTGCCAATCCTCCTCTTTTTGCTGAGGAAGACTGGCCCTGAGCTAACATCCATGCCCATATTCTTCTACAAAACTGGCCCTGAGCTAACATCAGTGCTCATCTTCCTCTACTTTATATGTAGCATGCCTGCCACAGCATAGCTTGCCAAACAGTGTGAAAGTCTGCACCGGGATCTGAACCGGTGAAACCCAGGCTGCTGAAGTGGAACGTGCAAACTTAATGGCTGTGCCACTGGGCTGGCCCTTCTATAACTTGTTCATTTGTTGATTGATTTGCTTTGTTCTTGAATGGAGATACGTGAAGTAATTCTAAGGGACACTAAAAATAGCCTTATAAGAAGTAAAAAGTGGAGAGACCCATGAACCAAGCCTTCTCTCTTCAAGGCCACCATTGACCTCCATGGATGTGTCTCTGTCCTCATCTTTCTCAGCCTCAGCAACATGTAATACAGTAGACCATTTTCTTCTCCCTGAAACACTGTACCATCTTGGCAAGAGACTCCACTCTCCAGGTTTTTCTCCTGCATCTTGGCTTCTTTCTCCCAATGTACTCCACAGGTTTTTCCTGCTCTACTCCATCTTTGTATACTCTTTATCAGGTTGAGAAAGTTCCCCTTTATTCCTAGTTTGCTGAGAATTTTGTCATGATTGGGTGTTGGTTTTTGTCAGATACCTTTTTGGCACCAATTATGAAGATGATATATGGTTTTCTGCTTAAATCTGTTAATGTGGTGTATTATGGTGATTGATTATTTTAAAAAATATTAAACCAACCTTGCATTCCTGGGACAAATTTCATTTGGTCATGATGTTTTGGGGTTTTTAAAATTTATATGTTGCTATATTCAATTTGCTGATATCCCTATGTGCATGAGGGCTATTGATCTGTAATTTTCTTTTCTTGTAATATTTTTGTCTAGTTTTGATATCAGAGTTATGCTGGCCTCATAAAACAAGCTAGGAAGTGTTCCATTCTTCCTATTTTCTGAAAGCGTTGTGTATGATTGGTATTATTTCCTCCTTAAATGTTTGATAGCATTCACCAGTGATGGTGTCTAGGCCTAGAGTTTTCTTTGTGGGAAGTTTTAAAATTACAAATATTGTTTCAATAGTAGATAGAGGGCTATTCAGATCTTCTGTTTCTTTCTGTGTCAGTTTTAAGAAGTTGTGTTGTACAATGAGTTTGTTAAACCCCAGCTCAGATTCTGTTCCACACTGCCTTCTCTTTTTTTCTCTATCCACTTTTGCTAGGTAGTCTCATCTATCATCATTAGTTTAAATATGATACTTTAAAAAATTATAAACATTTTCAACACAGCTGTACAGAGAACATTATCACAAATACTCAGACCTGCCATCCTGATGTAATAGATATCACCATTTAATCATATTAGCCTCAGCTCTTTTTTTAAATGTTACAGATACACTTGTGCCTCTCCACAATCAGATTCCAATCCTTCAATTCAAAGTAACCCAAAGTTAGTGTATATTCTTTGTCCTCATGTTTTCATACTTTTACTGTAGATGTTGTTCAAGGAGACATATACACACTTATATCTAGTATTGTGTGTTTTTAATTTTATATAAAAGATATCTTAATAGTCTGCATATTTTCTCGCTCACTAGTTTATTTCAAGATTTATCCTATATCTCTATAGAGTTAGTTCATCTGTTATATGTGCTGTATAATTATGGCTATTTAATTATCCATTTTCATATTGATGGAGTTATAGGTTGTTTCTGAATTTTTGCTCCAGTGAACATTCTTGTACCTGACTTGTTAGCCTGTGAGAGAAGTGGCATTGCTGGCTCATAGAGTGTGCACAACTTTAGCATTTCTGCATCTTGCCAAATCACTTTCCAAAGTGTTGGTGGCCAGTTTATATTCCTACCAGCAATGAATGACCTTTCATACTGCTCTACATCCTTGACAACACTTAGTAATGTTAGATTTTTTAATCTTGGCTAATTTCGTATACAGAAGATGGTATCTAACTGTGTTTTTAATTTACATTTTCCTGATTA